CTCACTGGAAAACATGCGCACCCTATGACAAAAACCTAAAATAAAAACAAACAAACAAACACTAAAAAGAGCTAGGCATGGGTTCTCTTCATTTCTGTTACTTTCGTTGAGACATGTATAAATAATTAGAAATTCACTATTGAATAAATGAAGGCCCAGTGGTCCCTCTCTAGCCTCCATAGATAGAAAGGTGCTATTTGCCCATCTCTTCTAGATCTTGGGAATAATTTCACTACATGATTCAGTGATTCAAACCAAAACTATCAAATCACATTAAGAGAATTTACAATGTCAAACTGCTTGTAATCATTAGGTATATGTCTTGATTAAATATTGACAGATTAGGAATGGGTTAATGTAGCCTTGAGATGAAGAAAATAAATTAATAGATTAAAAATGCAAATTATTTATAGTCACCCTCTCAGTTCATTCAAAAACAATACAAGTGTATTGTTAAAACCTTAATTTCCTGGACCAGCAGATGGTATAATGGTTACATCGTGGGACTCTCATGTAGTTGACAGTGGTTCGAGTCCCAGACCCAGCAGCTTCAACTCACACTGGGTACATGTGTGTGCGTGCGCAAGATCCTGAGAGGAGAATGGAGAAGAGATGGTGACGTGGCCGTCCCCCAACCCACCCAGTGATTTCTCACTTTCTGTCTCTCTCTGTCTTTCTGGCAAGTACACACACCCTATAGCAAGACCCTCTCAAGAAAAACAAAACAAAACAAAACAAAAACACCATGATTTCCTTAATAAGTGTGGGTGGATCGATGACTATGAGTCTTAGCTTACACTTCATATCTGGTATCCAGACTATAACATTCCTTGAAAGGCCCAAAAGAGTTCCAGAATTAACTGAGCACCTGGCCAAGACCTAACCCAGATTGCTCTCAGCCCCAAGACTTGCTAGAACTAGGCTTGAACTTGCAATAACATGGGCCTCCACACTTCCGTTTCCTGTAATATCAGTACATTTTTTGATGGTTTCACATTAACCACTTTATAAAATACTTAGAAGTAAATGGGGGGAAGCATACTTTGGGGAGAGATCTATTAATATTAATCTGCTGTGAGAATATTTATAGTTCCTCCAGCTCATCAGCTACCCAAATTCATTCAAGATAAGACCAATGACTCTCTTGCTCTCTAACTCATCAATAGAGTTTCATCAACATGGAATACAAAGTTAGTTACAAATTAAAGTCTAATCCAAAATGCTTATCTGCCTACCTATTTGTGTCTTCACTAAATTGCAAATAAGTATGAGTTGTGTTTTCTTTATTTCCGTATTTCCAAAGGCTGGTACATGGAAAAAAATTGCAAATATATTTTTTTTAAAAACGGATAAATGAGTGAGCAAACTTAAATAAATATCATAAAGACCTATGTAGCAGAGTAAACAAACCAGACATATGAGTAAGAACAGGGGCTCAGACCCTCCTTCCATCCCCTCCACTCTTGCCCAAAATAAGATCTATTCTCTGCCAAGATTTCACGGGCCAAAGATATTATAAAATGTACTGTTGGGTGAGCTCCATGGTGCAGCTGTAATGCTCTGCTCAAGAGAAGCTGGTCCCATTTGATGAGATGGTTAGAATTCCAGGTCTGATCAGATTGAAAAATACAAGGCATGTGCATGAGTGGGTAAGATCCAATGGGTTGGAGTAGTGGAAGGAAGCTTTACAGCATGTGGTCAGACCCTGTCCAGGGTACACATCTCTCTCTCTCTCTCTCTCTCTCTCATTTCACATGCACACACATATGCTCTAACATCCATAGAGAAAGTATTTAAAAGAACTTATTATAAAAATAAATACTAGCGGACCAGCAGATGATGTACTGGTTACATCACTGGATTCCCAAATGACCAACTGTGGTTTGAGTCCCAGACCCAGTGACATCAAATTCATGCCAGGCACATGTGCGTACATGCCCAAAATCCTGAGAGGAGAAGGAAGAAGAAGAGATTGTGGTGTGACCATTCCTCCTTGGGGAGGGGTGAGTGAGTTCTTGCTTTCTGTCTCTGTCTCTCTGGCAACTGCATGTGCCCTATAGCAACCATTTTAAAAATAAAATAATTTGGGCCAGTTCTTCAGCATCGCGGTTAAGGAAGCAGATCCCACCTCAGTTTCTCCATCCAAACCAGAATATAATGCTGAAGTCCCTTTTAGCTCTAGTATTTGGATTCTACTAGGCACATTAGCCACTGTGGATTACAAAAATAATTAGAATATAAGTGGGCACTCTGACTTATGAACATGCATTTGAAATATACTAAACAACACCAAGAGCACCATGGAAGGAGCCTCGACATTCACCTAACCTTAGTGAACAGGAGCCAGCGCTGGCAACAAGAGATGAATATGAATGCTGCAAAGGAATACTGGCTCCTTTCCTCCACAGATGGCCTGAGGTTCGTAGCACCTGAACTTACTCTGTGACTTTGCTCAGTAGTTTAACCCATCTATGTCTCATCTGTAAAGTTGGAGTCATATTAACATCTCTCTCTCTCTGAGTTGTAAAATTTAATTGCGAGAATATGGATTAAGTTCTGAGCAAGGCCCAGAATGCCATAAACACTCAATAAAAGTTAAGAAGGGGGGAAAAAAGACTCTAATTCTTCCCACTCCTCGAAGGCCAGCACAATCACACTCTGATAGATCTTCTCTTCTTTGTCACACTGTGGTGAGACCTTCACGGTGACTCCATGTTAATTTCTCCCCTACATTTATCTGACATTTAAAAAAGGAGTCCAACAAGCCTTCTCTTCAATTTCATCCTCAAAGCATGAATGTTCAAGATAGTAAATGACCACTTTACTACTGTATTTTATACAATTTAAGACTTTTTTTTTTTTACATTTTAGCATCTCTCAAATAAGGAAGCATCTTACAACTGATGGCATCTTAGATTCAATGAATATGGTAATAATATTTTTGCTTATTTCTTGTTCCAGATGTACAGTGTTTCAATAATTTGATGGCCTCACCAAGGAAATTTACCCCTGTTGTTATTTCTCTGAGAAAATTAGTGAAAGAGTATTTGGAGAGAGCAGAATGGTGCCTCAGCAAGAAAGCACAATGCTCTAGGAGACTGACCCACGACAGAGAGTTCGGATGGCGTCTCAAGCCCTCCCCATGCTCACATGCCAGGCACACTTGTGACCAGCCGTGTCTTTGCCCTGGTTAAAGCTGGGAAAGATCATGGAGTCAAGACTTCCCCATGGAAGGTGCTGTAGCTCCTTCCCTATGACTCTTCCCTCTCTCCCGCTATTCATGGAATAAATAAATAAGCTGGAGGCGGGTGGAAACATTTGGAAAAGTGAAAACGTTTTTGTTAAATGGGTTGTGCTTATCCACCAAAATAACTTCCAAAATCTTGAACCAAGGTCTGTTACTATGTAAAGGACTCATCAGGAAAAAAATAAATAAAATGAACATTTCGAATTACAAATAAACTACAGTTCGGATCACACCGTTGTGCATTACTAATGAGACTGGGGACAAACGTCATTTTGCAAAGAGTGAGAAAATTATGCCAAGCAGGTGGTTTCAACCTTTGTCCTGACTCACTTAGAAGAATGGCCAGGAGGTGACGTAGTCAGAAGGTCATGTAGCCTTAGGTACACTCATCTTTACGGGGAGAAAAGGGAAGGAGTGCGCAAGAGACAAAATACACAAACACGGACAGACTCACAGGAACATGAAGTGCCACTGGCATTTCGGTTTTGTTTTCTAACGAAGTATTGGAAAGCCAGTTTGAGTCAATGGCCCCTCGGTGCTGTGTGTTGCTACAGCGGCACAATCGCAGCTAGCTTTTCCCTATATTCCAGTAACTGGTGACCCACTGCATCAAAAAGTGTTTAAAATGTTCATTCTTATTTGTGTTCCTTCTCTCTCTCTCTCCTCCCTCCCTTTTCCCGCTCCTCCCCCTAAGTTCCCCAATCAGTGCATCTCTTTCTGAAAGTGGTCGGCAAGTCAGTCCCATTCAAACGGCTTCTACCCGCGCTCACCCCAGCCCGCACAGCCGCTGCAGGGTCTCAGAGTTAGGGACGCCCAACTTTCCCGCTCCTCCTAAACCTGTTGGAGTCTGGACAAAGCACAGCAGTTTGCTAGGGGCTTCTTTGTATCAGACAGAACTGGCAGCCCGAGATGGTCAGGGTGAGAAGTTTCCGGTGAAAGTTCTGCTAAGCAGGCTGCAGGGCATTGGGGGTAGGGCACTAGTCCCGCTACCTCCATCCGCCGCCCCCCTGCAGCCAGGCTACCCACACAGAAGCGTAGGGTCCACGGATTCACAAGGCATTGGTCCTGCAGCTTCAACACCCAGTTCTTCATCCCCAGCAACAATAACACCACCACCCGCCAAAAAAGAAAAAGAAAGAAAGAAAGAAAGAAAGAAAGAAAGAAAGAAAGAAAGAAAGAAAGAAAGAAAGAAAGAAAGAAAGAGAAATAGAAAGAAAAAGGAAGGAAGGAAGGAAGGAAGGAAGGAAGGAAGGAAGGAAGGAAGGAAGGAAGGAAAGAAAGGAAGGAAGGAAGAAAGGAAGGAAGGAAGGAAGGAAGGAAGGAAGGAAGGAAAGAAGGGAGGGAGGGAGGGAGGAAGGAAGGGAGGGAGGGAAGGAAATCGGAATCGCCATCCCTATCCCTACTCCGATATCCTGGACTGCCCTCCCTCTGTCGCAGTGAAACTCTCAGAGACAAGGCCTGGTAGGGAGGCCCGAAGGCTCGCCACCCTCTCTCCCTCGGGCGGCCGGGACACAGCCCGGTCACGCGAGCCCCTGCGTCGCCCCGCGGCGCGGAGACTGGGAGGCCGAGCTCGCCAGCTCCTCCCAGCCTGCCGCCGGCGCCCGGTTGGGGATCTCCAAGCAAATCTCGCCGGCTGAGCCCACCCGCCCATCTGTTCAGCCCTCCGGGGACCCGCTCCTCACCTCGTCGGCTCTGGGACGCTGACCGGTCCCCGGGCAACTCTGAGCTCCCGAGCCTGGGCAGAATGAGTTCTGAATTCCGAGCAGAAGTTGGGTTGGGGGCCGGGAAGGGGGAGGTGTTTGCTCAACTTCTGAATACGTCAGGCCTCTTTCTCCCAATGACCAATCAGCGGCCACCTTGAGGGAACAACCTTCTTCTGCACCAATCGGTGGCCCTGCCAGGTACTAGGTCATGCCCTGCCCCTGCTCCTCCCCGAAAAATCTCTCTGCGTTTCAGATCTCTGACCTGCGTCCTTAGACCGGGGCATCACGTCCTCGAGGACGGTTATTGACTAAGTTTGTAACTGTTCGTGCCAAAAGCAGGTGGGGAAGAGAAGGACGAAAATAGTGTGGGCATTTCATGCTAAATAGATATGCATATCTCTGGGAAAAACTTGCGGGCTCGTGTATTTCACGTTTGTTGAGAGATACCCAATTCCCAAAAACATTTTACAACCTGTTCCTAGCCTATGAAACCCAATGATACTTCTTAGAACACTTCTAGCACCCAAGAAACCGAGAATGTCTGAAATTAAATGTAGCGTGCCCGCATTCAATGAATACTAAGAATCCATGTGCGTATGACACAAACCTGTGTTCTCAAAACGAGCTGACAAAGCAGGGCTAGAGGGACCGTGAAAGATGCTTGTCACAAAAACCAGCACTGCACTAGGAGCTGAAGAACCACCCAGAACTGAGCTGTCAATGGCCAGAGAGCTGTCTTCCCTCCTGTTTCTGCAACTTTCTGGATTCAGCTATTGGGCTCTCCTGTCCACAGTCTAGGACATTCCTGAAATTCCTCTCGTATCTTCAATTGCAGAGAAATTTAAATTTTCTCAAGAAGTTGGGTGTTTCCTCAGTAGCTTTAGCTTTACATATCCAAAATCAGACTCCTTATTTTTCTTAAGTTTTCTCTCCTCCTGTGTCTGTCAGTTCTGATGTGTGTGCATGTGTGTGCGTGTGTGTGTGTGTGTGTGTGTGTGTATCGCCACTCTCTTCAGCATCACCCCACTAGACCTTTATTTCAATTCTTTGTCTGGCCTATCAGCCTTACCATGGTGTTGACCCTGTCCTTAAAAATCCCATGATTGGAACCAGCAGTTAGCATGATGGCTATGTCACTGAACTCCCATGTAGTCGACTGCAGTTTGAGTCCCAGACCCAGTGGCTTAAACTCATGCCAGGCGTGTGTGCATGCATGCGTGCCCAAGATCCCTAGAGGAGAATAGAGGAGAAGGGATTGTGGTGTGGCCATGCCCCCTGGAGGGTGATTTCTGGCTTTATGTCTCTCTGTCTCTCTGGCGACTGCATGCGCCCTGTAGCCAAAGGAAAAAAAAAAATCCCATGATTTTCATCCTAATTCAAATCCCTTTTACACACCTCCTAGACCATATTTCCTTAAGTATACAACTCCAATAGGTTCGTTTCTTTAGGCAAAAAGCCTTAGCGACTAGCCACTACTTGTAGAACAAAGCTCAAAGTCCTTCATGCAATGTTGATTATTTCAAGATGCAGCCAAAAACCACTGTCTCAGCTTTGTTTTTGCAGCACGAACTGCCTGAAGCCAGCACTAAATAACAGAATTTGAAAGGGACAGAGACAGAGCAGCATAGGAGCATAGGTCTACTGGATGCTGTCATGCCGAGACTGCTATGAAAGGCACAGTCCTCTGTCTTGTCATTTACTGTAACTGAACAACCCCAAGACCCTGAAACAAAACAAAGGGACACACACACACACACACACACACACACACACACTCACAAAAGGCAAGAATTTACTAAACAGAGTATTGCCTGGGCCTATACACATGGATTAATTCCAAATGCTTGCCAGTTGTTTTGTACACATATTAAGATAAACACTTCCTCTCTAAGAAACTAAATACTTGAAATGCCAAGGATGTGTCAAGGCAAACACCCTATCAGGGTATAAACTGAGAAGCCAAAGATTTATTTGAGTTCTGTGTCTTTGGAATCCTCCAGGGTCTGTGTCCTGCCCTACGCACACCGAGGGCTGTAGGAACTATGCAGTTATGTGAAGGAATTTTCAGTTCTAACATTGTTCCTACATAAAACTGATGCTGTATGTCATGGGGGGCATTATTTTGAGAGTCACTGATCTAGGATTATAAGAGACTGAATGAATTAGCAAAGTATGATGAAACTGCTGGGTAGTTTAAGGGGACTCAGTGGGGGTATTGGGGAGGAATTTAAGATGAGACTAGTCATGATGGTACGCTTTCCATTAGCCATGCTCGGTTCCCAGAGTATTCTCCAAGTACCATGTTGTGGAAGCTTCCTTGGATTGTTTAAAGCAACTGAAAGCAGAACAAGAGGGTGTAGGGTATGCACGATGGGGCGCTTTCAATGGCTGACTATGGGATTTCAGGCAGACACAAAAGGAGAAATGGCCCTGCGTGAGACAAGAGGTGAAGACATATTGGTAGGAAGGGATCAAAAATTTGTTGGAGCTGGGATCAGCAGTTAGCGTAATGACTATGTCGCTGAATTCCCATGTAGCCGACCATGGTTCGAGTCCCAGACCTGGTGGCTTAAACTCACGCCGGGTGCGTGTGTGTGCCCAAGATCCTGAGAGGAGAATGGAGGAGAAGGGATTGTGGCATGGCCACCCTCCCTGGGGGAGGGGGGGGCTTTCTGTCTCTCTGTCTCTCTCTGTCCTTCTGGCGAGCACACACGCCCTATGGCAAAAACCTCTCCAAAAAAAAAAAAAGGAAAAAAACTTGTTGGAGCTGAAATACTGGAGAAAAAGAGCTGAAAAGATGGACTGGTACTGGAGAGTGGGTGGCTGAGACAGAAGGGAGAAAGGTTAAGAAACTAAAAGGCCAAGGTGTTGGAAGGATTACTGGCATGGGCATTAAAAATAACTAAAATATAAGAACACCCTTGGAGAAAATGACAGAGAGTTAGGAGTTGAACTTCTTGGTATTGAGGAGAGTGACCTGGGTGGGGTCAGAAAGTACTCCTAAGAAGTAGTAAATATTAAGATATGCTAATACGTGTGTAAAAGCTGTGTCTTTAGAGAGATAATGACAGGGGTTTGGAAGCACCGAAGAAGAGCAAGTAAAACACATGCCACTGCCCAACGCCTTCTGGCATGATGGATGTGGCAGAGAAAACAGCCATTGCTTAAGAGAAAAGGAAAAGAAAACAGAAAAAAGGAGAGAACAGAAAAAAAAGAAGAGAAAAGAAAAAAGAAAAGTATTTCCAAAAGGGTGAAGTTAAAGGTTTTGGTTTTGTTTTTTGTTTTTTGGGTTTTTTTTTTTTCTTTTTTTGGAGAGGTTTTTGCTATAGGGCGCATGCGCTCGCCAACAGAGACAGAGAGACAGAAAGCGAGAAATCACCCCCCAGGGGGGATGGCCATGCCGCAATCCCTTCTCCTTCATTCTCCTCTTGGGATCTTGGTACAGACACACACGTCCGGTGGGAGTTTTAAGCCACTGAGTCCGGGCCTCAAACCGCAGTCGAATACATAGGAGTCCAGCAACACAGCCATTACGCTAACTGCTGGTCCCTAAGAAGTTAAAGGTTTTGTAAAAACATCCATATCCTAGAATATCTCATATAATTTGTACATGTGTGTGCATGTGTGTATGTGTGCATGTGAGGTTTTAGACAGTGTCTCACCATGGCAAAATCCTCTTGCCTCAGTCTCCTGAGCAGCTACAGCCTTGCACCAACCTGCCCTTGGAGTAGGCTGGGAATCAAATGTGGGCCTCTCATGTGGCCTCAGCCTGCTCAACAGCAGCATCCAACACTAGTACGAGGGCATGATTTTTTTTTTTCTTTTAAGAGAGAGAGTTTTGGTATAAGGCACATGTGCTCACTGGAGAGACAGAGAGACAGAAAGCGAGAAATCGCCCCCCAGGTGGGATGACCACACTGCAATCCCTTCTCCTCCATTCTGTTCCTGGGATCTTGGGCACCCATGCACATGCACCCAGGTTTTAAGCCATCAGATCTGAGACTTAAACCACAAGCACCTACATGGGAGTCCAGTGACATAACCATTATGCCATCTGCTGGTGCCCCTAGGGCATGAATTTTAAGAAGGGAATTAAGTTCAAGAAATCTTTTTTTTTTTTTTGGAGAGGTTTTTGCTATAGTGCGCGTGCACTCGCCAGACAGACAGAGAGAGACATACAGACAGAAAGCGAGAAATCACCCCCCAGGGGGGATGGTCACGCCGCCATCCCTTCTCCTCCATTCTCCTCTCGGGATCTTGGGCATGCACGCACACGCGCCCGGCGTGAGTTTTAAGCCACTGGGTCCGGGACACGAACTGCGGTCGACTACGTGGGAGTCCAGCAACATAGCCATTAAGCTAACTGCTGGTTCCCATGAAATCTTTTATAACTAGGAACAGCTTCTGTGACTTCTGTTTCTCTCGCCTGCCTAACTTCTCATCTACTTCGAAATCTCGGCAGTTGGTGCTACCCTGTGTCTGCAGCCCATAACAATAAAATCCCAGTTACACAACAAGAAGAACTGAGGTTCAATGGCATTGTGTGAGTTAATAGCATCCCCCTAAAATTCATGTCTACCCAGAGTCTCAGAATGTAACCTTATTTGAAAATGGGCTCTTTTGCAGATATAATTAAGATAAAAATCAAGATGAGATTATACTGGATTTGGGTCACTCCAGATCTGTTGAAAGTGCCTTTATAAAAGACAATAAAGGTCACACAGAGACACAGAGAAGATGGCCATATGAAGACAGAGACACAGTTTGGATTTTTGTTACCACAAGCCAAAGAATATCAGAAGCTACCAGGAGTGAGACGAGACAAGGAAGGATTCTTCCCTAAAGCCTTTGGAGGGAACATGGCTCTACCAATATCTCGATTTTGGACTTGTTGTGTCCAAAACTGTGGTACAATACATTTTTGTTTTCAGCCAACCAGTTTGTGGTACTTCAAACAGCCTAGGCAGACCTGAGAAACTAATATAATAATGTTTCACTGTCTGAGAATCTAAAGTAAAATAAAAGTACACAATGAGCAGTGAAAACATACACTCACAAACAGGTAAATAACAAGATTGTTCTAAATGTCT